CTAATTTAAGGGCCGGTTGTTCAATGTCTGGTTATCACTACCACTACACTATCGACGATTTCGACATCATGCATGTAAAATGTGATCGATACAGCAGTAGTTGTGCTTAACCGGAGCTTCTACCTCCGAATTGCGCTAATCAGACATTGAACAACCGACCCTAAGACAAATGTTCCAAATTTCCGAGCACTAGTTTATTATTAAATTCGGTTTTAACTGTGCACTTCTTTGTAAATTTCGATGTGTTCTGCGTTCTGGAAGCCGTAGCTGGAGGTTAATGCACAAGTAGTGTTATATATCTTTTACAATAGAAGAGCTTCCACACTTCTTCTTCGGCAACACAGAAAGGAGAATTCTACCTAGTAAGGGTTATAATCCCTAAGCGCGGCCGAAGGCACAAGCAAGCGCAACAGGTGGTGAACCTAACCAAATGCATATTTTCAATGACTTGGAAGAAGTTGTTATTGCATTAACTGGATTACCAGTTCTTCAGGTATAATAGTTGTGGCTTGTAGTTCAACAATTCAAACAGAAGCTCACATACATAGATGCGTCCATGGTTAAGCTCGACAGCACCGCATAGCTTTGTGAATTCATTCCCATAACGCGCTCTTACTCCGCTGCTATAACTGCAAATGCAATAGAATCGAGTTTTTGTTGTTGTTGTTGTAGCGGCTACTAAGCCCCGTTCGGGGCGGTTCATCCACCAACGTTGTCGTCTATTTCAGCTAGGGGGAGGCCTGGGAAGTGTGCTACTTCCAGAGGGGCTGTCCATAGGGACAGGGGCGTTAGCTGAGTGGGATTCTCAGGGCATGTGAAGTGCCGGGAGTCATGTGGCGACTCTCTACATGCCGGGCATTGGTTGGGCACATCCTAGTTGATTCCGCTCAGATAGCTCTTGAGCCTGCTGCAATAGCCAGAGCGGAGTTGGGCTATTGTAGTGCGGGTCTCCCGAGGCAGACAAAGTTCTGTCCCGTCCACGTCCGGTGGTTGTGTCTACATAACTTGAGACTGATTCCCGGTGAATGCCGTTCAGGGCCTGTCGGTAGGTTGACGGGTCCAGAGGTTGTTTAATATACCTCTGGACTTCGTCTGTCAATTCGTAAAGATGCCTCCTGACGTGCCGTTGCGAGGGCTCTTCCGCGAGCAGTTGCCCGCTGGGATGGCCATGTCTGTGGCTCCCAGCGAGGAACTGCTTGCAGAGCATTATGTTATGCTCCTTTACTGGGAGCTTCTGGAACTCGTCGTGAAGGTGGTGTTGAGGCGTCATCAGGAGGCATCATGTCGCAGTTCGTAATGCCGTGTTTTGGCCGGTCTGCAGCTTCATCCACTGCGTCCTGCTAGTCCCCGGCGACCATACGTTCAGAACCGGCCGGCCAATTGCCTTGTATGTTGCCAACAACGTTTCTTTCACCCCTATTGCGAATGTCGACTGGCAGTAGATAAACGACTATTAAGCGATTATCGATTATCGATGCTATTGCGAGTGTCGCTTAGTCGCTCAGTTAGCGACTGTGAATACTTTTTAATCGCTCATCCTTCTATTGCTATTTTTTAGTCGTTGGAGTATGCGTTTATAAAATTTGTGTAAGAAAGTGGAACTNGGAGGATTTTCGGGTTACTCACCGCCGGTATTGTTACGTCATCGACGTGGCAGTCTGACCTTCGTCCAGGTGGTGAAAAGGGTTGCCGAGGATTTCGCAGGGGATAGGGCAAGGCTCCTTGCAGTGAAGAAGCGAGAAAGTTCGGAGGTAACCGTTTACTTTTGAGCACAAGTCATCAATTCCATTCCCAGACGCCATGATCGAACAATCGTCAGCATACTAGACTATATTAGCACCCTCTGGTGGCTGAGGAAGCTTAGATATGTAATAGTTAAACAGTAGCGGGGACAGGACACCACCCTGTGGTACCCGTTTAATTTTACGTGGCTTGCTGGTTTTGTCTCTGAAGGTTACTGACGAGTGTCGACCACTCAGGTAATTCGCCGACCACCGTCTGAGTCCCTGTGGGAGTGAGGAGGCCTCTATATCTTCTAGTAGCGTTGAATGACTGACAGTGTCGAACGCCTTGGACAAGTCCAACGCTACTAGAATAGTTCAGTCACAGGGGCGGTTTCGGTTTAGGCCACGAGTTATCTGAGTGTTTATGGCGTTAAGTACTGTTGTTGTACTATGCACTTTACGGAACCCATGTTGATGCTTCGCTGGGGTCAGGTGGTTCGTGAAGTACGGGAGCAGCAGGGCCTCGTCAGTGTCTTCGCTACCGGGGAAAGTGGGACCACTCTCCCCATTTTCCAGATGTCTGGAATGACGAGTGGCCATAGACAGGTTGAGGACCTCCGTTAGGTACGCTACTCCCGCAGGACCCAATTTTTTCAGCATCAACATGCATATTCCGTTGGGACCAATGGCTTTGGAGGCTTTCGCCTTCNCGCATATTCCGTTGGGGCCAATGGCTTTGGAGGCTTTCGCCTTCCCGATGGCTAGCTACCCTTGCCTCACCGCTGGTGAAAACAAGAGGCGCACTAGGTTTTGGCATTTTGTGCAGCCTTCTGGTCACTCGAAGTTTGGCTTTATCCACCGGAGGATGCAGAATGAACTGCCGGCTAAAATAGCTCGCGCATCTCTCCGGGTCCGACGAAGCGTGGTCACCAGTCTATCTCGACTCTGTCGTCGCGCTTCGTCGGGTTGGACAACGACCTCACGGTAGACCAAAGCTTGCTCACACCAGAGGCGAAGTTGCAGGTCTTCAGATGCTCTTCCCATTTCTTCCGCTTATGTACGTTCACAAGTTGCCGAATCTCCGAATTGAGATCCCTAATACGGGGATTTCCGGGATCGGCCTGACAAAGGTTGTCGCGCTCATCAGCTAGAACAGCCGTTTCGGCAGGAAAATTCGGACGTGGTTCCTTAATACATGCTGCTGGGATGAAGCGAGCTGCAGTAGCGGTGACAACCCTGCGGAAATTACGTTCACCTACATGAACGTCGGTTGGTATGGGTAGTGCAGTGAAGGCGCCCTCCGTAACATTCGTGAAGCCTTTCCAGTCAGCTTTGGAAACGTTGACATAAGTCCGGTGATCCACGGAAGCAAAGTCGGCAGGTTTATCAATCGAGATGACTATGGGCAGATGGTCTGATGCTAGAGTCAGCATAGGTCGCCATGATACGCAGTTTATCAGACCAGCGCTGACAATTGTTAGATCTGGCGAGCTGCAGCAGCTGCCCATAATCCTGGTGGGTGCGTCGTCGTTCATTGTGCAGAATTTCGAATCGCCTATCTGCTCAGCCAGATGTAGTCCCCTACGATCATTTGCAAGGCTTGAGTGCCAGAGATCGTGGTGCGCGTTAAAGTCACCAACTACCATACGGTTTTCACCTCTGAGTAGCGCACCTATTTCAGGGTGATAACCAGCCGGGCAGCAGGTGACAGGGGGTATGTATACGTTTAATATTTCGAGCTCAACATCGCAGACCGGATAGCAATACCCTGACATTCTAGGATGGTATCCCCGCGGTCGATGTCTGCTTCAATGAGACGATACTGCACGGTGTGGTGCGTGATGAACGCTAAACCCCCACCATTATCTCGCTCGCGATCTCGACGGTGCACGTTGTATCCGGCGCAAATCAACAGGGTTGAATTGCCGTGCAACTTCGTCTCTTGGACCGCAGCTATTAATATTCCATGCCTTCCCATAAAGACAGTTATCTCCTCGATCTTGCTCTGGAGTCCGTTACAGTTAAATTGTAGCACCTTTGTGTGCCTTGGGAGACCGATTGTGATGTGTGGTGTTAAAGAGTTGTGTTGCCTGCCGGCCCCCTGCTGTACGTGCTGCAAAAGGGGTGCTGCCTTGTGGTGGTGGTTGGCGGCGTCGCGGGGGAGGGATGCGACGGGGCAGCACAGCAGGGGCCCACATAGCCACTCGTCCAATCTCGTGTTTTGCGAAGTCCTGAGCACGCCCTAAAGTGGCACCAGCCGAGGCAAGAGTTGCACTTGACTGATGTCACGTTACGGTATATTCTGGACTGACAAACAGAGCAGATTGTCGGAGGGACTAGGAGTTGCCGGCGGCGGTGTGTGGGTGCTATTGTGTTTGTTTGTGTGTCTATTGCTGTGTTGTGTTGGGGTGTGGGTGTGTTCATTGTGTCCTGCCCAGGCGGGTGGTGGTTTGCCGTGGGGGCGGTCCGGTTCGCACAGCATGGGGCCACGAACGACGTGGTCCATTGCCGGTGCGTACGCAGGCCCGAGCAGCTACGGAGGTGACTCCACCCGTCACAGGCTTTGCACCTGACCGAGGTGGAGTTTGTATGCAGTCGTCTCTGGCATACGCAGCAGGGTAGATTTCTGGCCTTGGGTTTGACTCTATGCCAGCCCTGAGCAGAAGGCTGCGGAGGTGTAGCCCTAGGATCGAGCAACGTTTGATGTATTTCGCCGACCTAAACGGGGTTAGATCGCCGAAACAACAGCCCTTGGTCGGGTAAAACCCCAGTCATTCCGGTACGTAGAACCGGCTGTCGTGGGAATGTCGATTTTTTGTTTTTCGTAACGTTGCTACGAATTAACGAATTACGATAATTCGGGTTCTAGAATAAGGGTGTTAGTCTGAATAATTTGTGCTGGCGACTTCACTCGGATTGAGTGAGAGCAATTTTTCAAATTCGTAAATTTTTTGATTTAAGTGTTGTTGGAAATCCCCAACAAATTTTTGGCGAGCGATGCTGGAGTGGCGATAAAAATTTTTGTCGTTCCGATTGCGTAGACCTGACTGTCGTGGGAACGACAAAGTGCAAGGGGGCGGTAGACCACCCCTACATAACCATAACCATAATCTGCGTTCAAACATTTTAATTTTTGCCAACAAGGTTCCTGTAATAAACAGAAGGATCAATGTAAGTGAAGGGACTTATTACTTATTTTTGCGGCTCACAGTTCATACAGTGAAGGAAAGTCATTTAAGCATCTTCGGTCATCAGACTCCGAACAAAAAATAAAAATACATTCTTCGAAAACACGCGTATCTTTATATTTTGCGAGCATATCAAAACTAAAAATATCGCTCTAGCGTTTACGATGCATTTGCAAAGTATTTTTGCGTTTCCATGCAGCACGACGGGAACCTCCAATAGTCTGCGAATAACGGTAGCCCTTGCCAATTCCACGAGAACTTTTGCCAGCTGAGGTCAAACCACGAAGCTCACGATGTTTATGAACATGCTTACAAAGCCAATTTATTTTTGGATCTCTTCTTATAGCGTTATGATGGATGTCCACTAAAATGACTTCAAAATATTTATAAGACGCGTCCTGAGCCACCCAATAAGAGTTTAAAACTCTCAAACCCCCTAACCTACGGCCAACACGTTCCTGAAAAACAACAAAAAAGTATTATAAATATATTATATAAATGTAAATATAAAGTTTGTTTATACATAGTAATAAAATCAGACATCTAAGGAAGTAAATAAATCAACACAATTTATTTATGAAAGAAATATTTCATCATATAGTCGGTTATCAAGGCTAATAGAACAGAAGGTTACGACAACCAATTACACGACATTCCCGCGACAGCCGGTTCTACGTACCGGAATGACACGGGTTTTACCCGACCAAGGGTTGTTGTTTCGGCGACCTAACCATCTGTCCTGTGTTATTCATGATATTAACACTTCAGTGCATTCAGCCACGGGCTACACGCCATATTTCCTGCCCACTGGCAGTGAATATGTGAAAATTGGAAACGAATATAAATTATTATTGGATGTAAATCCATACCATACACAGGATGTGGAACAGCGTAAAGTTCTGGCTGATGAAATTCGAGACAAACAGTTCGAACAATATCAACAAACCGCACAACGGGCATTTACCCGCAAAAGAGAACGCCATTTCGAGATAGGCTCGGAAGTGTACATTCGCAATCCTAAACAGTCCGTGGCCGGAGAGAGCTATGCACAAAAACTAGCCCCACCAAAAATTAGAGCCAATGTTTCACGGAAACTTGGTTCGAATTCATATGAACTGATCGATGCTAAACACCGAGTGCTTGGCAATTATTCCGCCGATTTAATCACAAGACGTTAACCCATTTAGTACATTCGCCTTCTCAAGAATTTCGAAGAATATATGGCAGGCCTCCATACTCCATTGATTCTGCCTTATTACAGGGTACCCGGCTTGTATAAATTAATTAAGTTTAGTTTTGTTATATCCATAGTTTTGTTATATTATATCCTCAGTACATTGCTAGTAAATCGATCAAAGCAAACAAGAAAAGATTCATAACCAAATCATTTACCAATGCCTTTCATCTACCGTAGCTTATGTAATGCGTACTGAAACTAAATACGAAAGACGGAACATTTGTACATACATATGCGCTTAAAGGCGAACTGAAGGAGTCAGGATGGGGTTGATGAAGATCATGTAGAACGATTTCGATGTAAGGTCTAACGCCGATCAAACCACAGCCCGTGAATCGCATTCGAACCACCATTCTCATATCCCTACTAAACGCTCCACATTTTTTTTGTTAACGTGTCGCTGAAGATGAGAAAACGCGACACTGACATACGATAAAAGAATCGGTGGTCACATACCACGAGGCTAGAAAAATATATTTCTCTTTTTGGAATTGGACACGGAGCGAACCACACTCATCAGCCCTCGCAGAACGGAATTACGACCAAGTATTTCAAGTGGATAAAACACTTGTATCAAAAGCTGGCGACATTCGGGGAGTTGATACTCACCCCTCAGTGGAAATTAATAGAGGCAAAAGGTGCCGTCACATTCCTTCCGGCAAATCCCCAGCCATGTTGTTGCGTAGAATGAAGAAGTTGTGAGCATCAAATCTGGACTATTCATTTGACAGCAATTGAGTCACCATAAGCCGGTAATACAAAATCATTACACGTAAGTCAGCCACTTTCTTGCCACCATCCATTGGAAACGAGCTATCCATCAACCGTAAATAAAGATTCCTGTTTGGACCGACAAACCAAGGTCAAGCAAATCAGCTGAGCTTAGCAGTTTATTATAGTCTGATAAAGAGACACCAAACTTGAAATTAACTCTTACCAATTTCTTCAAAGAGTCAGCAGAAAGGTCTTTTTTAATAAGGTTATAGCAAGAGATGCTGTTAGAATCAATCGATGCATGTTTAGGGACAAAATTTATGATGTCATTTTCGTTGACAGAGGGCTTAAAAGACGACAAATGCAACCATTTGAGCGGAACAACAACATCCAATTCTTTACTGGGATTACTACCAACAACGCTGGCACTCTTTTTATTGTCTTTCCGTACACCAGCACCAGAAGTCGTTAGAAAGTGCATTAGCACTAGCGGATGTCTCGTTATTATTTCTCTTAGCAGCAGCAGGTCCGAGAGCGCACATGGTTCCAGAATTACTAGCAACAACAGTATCAGCAGTAGAAGCATTGGTGTTAGGAAGTGTATTAGTATTAGCAGATGTTTGCTTTTTATTACTTTTAGCAGTGACGAGAGAACCAGAAACAGCATTCGCATACGATAATGGTGTCGTATCAATTACATCAGGAGAAGTAACGTCAACAACACATGAAAAAGCAGACGAAGCGGCAATACTCTTGATATCGGCATTGTATTTGGCAGTGAGCATAGGCGAAGATGACATCAGCAAATCGACAGTACAGCTTCGGTTTTTTTTTGTTTTTACTTTCGCTTAGCTGTTGGCTTTGAATTTTCTCACAGCCAAAGCAAACTCGAAGCATATGAAAAAGAAAAATGGAAGCACTTTCAAACGCTGGTTTTATTAGCAATATAATGGCCCTTATCGTCCGAATTTTGTCCTCATCCGCTGCAATGACAGCTGCACATTTTGCGGCCTATATATTAGACCCCAAACATAAAGGTGAAGGACTATCGGAAGAAAAAGAAGAAAAAAAAAATCATGTGTCGGTCTGGTGGAGATCGATGGGAAGTAAAATAGATGCACAGATTGTAGAGGCCACAAATCAGTTATTTACGGCCACTGCTTCTTCTGTGAGAATTGAAAGATTGTATTCGAGCTTTGGGTTGGTTCACTCGAGACTACGCAACAGGCTTGGCACCGAGAAAGCAACAAAATTTGTTACGATTATGAGGGCGCTTAATCCAGAAAGAGGCAGAGGCTCGTCTATGGGTGCGGACAAGGACTGAAAAGGTTTTATTTAATTCATCAATCAAATCTCAATAATACACAAGACTACTTTTTATTTATATAACGTTCATTTTAATGGTAAACATTTAGGGGATTCCCTTAAACTCGTAAAGTCTTAAAGCGTGTAAAACTCGTAAGTTTACGAGGCTTTTATGAGAACGCTCCTTTGTGAAAAGGTTTAAATAGGTGGGTAAAGAGACTGTTTGACAGATCAACCAGGATTTTGTGAAGCAATTTTTGTTTTGTAGTATTTCCCATAACATCCCGCCATCTTGTCTCTTATCATTCTTGGCTAAAATACAACTAAAAATGCCGAAAATTAGCAGAAAACCTAAGTCAATACAGTTAGTGGATGAAATACATTCATTTTATTCGCGTATAATTTTTTTTATTTTTTTCATTGTTTTATCATACATTGTAGCATAAAAATGTCGGCCTCTCGGCAACATTGAAGTTTACGAGGTCGTTTGCGCATCAAATTTGCCTCGTAAATTTACGGGGGGCTCGTGACAGTTCTTTTACAAGGCTCATAAATTTATGAACTTTACGAGGCTTACGAGGGTTTTACGAATTTAAGACCCCTTTTATTATTTATTTCTAATAGATATTTGATTAGTTCTTCGCTGGATTTGATTTCTTTCTACCCTTAATTTCGAAAGTATTGAATTATTAAAAGCGTTTAAAACAATGTTTAAATAAGTTAAAAACATGTAAATTAAAACATTTACGAAAAACTTGTTTAAAACATATTCGATTTTTCCTTTTCTGAAAAATAAACTTTAACAGGGGAAAAATTTTATAAATAACACTTTCTATGTAAATTTTTGTTATTTGTGTTAAAGCCAGTTGCTGCACAGTGGGGTCATTGATATCGATATTGGAGATTAATTCAAAAAATGAATTTCAAAGTACAAAGAAGTTTTTACTACCAAATGAAAAAAGATAAAATTCTACATCACTAAGTATTCAAGTATTTGGTCAAACATTTACATTTTTCACATTTACCAGCACTGAAAAACTGGCCCTCAAAGTCGTCGCTTTTTCCTTTTTATGTGCGCAAACTGATAAACGTGATTTAATATGACTGACTTCCAAAACGTATCAATACAATGTTTGGATACTGTTATACTGCGGTATTCAAACTGTTTCTACATGCAGAGTTGCGACACATTGACTGCGCTCACACACAGAAACTTTTGTTGCCCATTTTCGGCAATTTCTCTTTTGGTTGTTGTTTTTGTTGTTGTAGCGGCTACAACAACCCCACCCAGATCGGTTGATATCTCGGTCGTTGTCGTCAATTTCCACTAACGGCAGCCCTAGGAAGCGTGCAGCCTCTACAGGGTCGGTCCACTCATTTGGCACATCCGCATTCAGTCTGCTCAGGTATGAGTTTAACCTGCTGCAGTAGCCAGAGCGAAGTTGGGCTATTGTGGTTCTTGTCTCCCGAGGCAGATGAAGCTCCGTCACGTCTATGTCCGGTGGTTGTATGCCTCTAACGGCATTCACAGGGCTAGAGTCTACGTATCCCGAGACTGAGTCCCTGTGAATGACTTTCAGGGCCAGTCGGTATGCTGACGGGTCCAGAGACTGTTTGATGAACCTCTGGACTTCGTCCGTTAGTTCGTATAGATGCCTCCTGACGTGCCTAGGCGAGGGCTCCTCTGCAAGCAGCTGTCTGTTTGGGTGGCCACATCGGTGGCTCCCAATCAGATACTGCTTGCAGAGCATTATGTTATGCTCCTTGATTGGGAGCATTTGTGCCTCGTTATGAAGGTGGTGTTCTGGCGACATCAGGAGGCATCCGGTCGCTGTCCTGAGTGTTGTGTTCTGTGCTGTCTGTAGCTTCATCCACTGCGTCCTACTAGTCCCCGGCGACCACACTGGTGCTGTGTAGTTTAAAACCGGCCGGCCTATTGCCTTGTATGTTGCCAGCAACGTTTCTTTGTCTTGGCCCCAAGTACTGCCGGCTAGCGACTTAAGGACCTTTTTGCGGCTCTGTACTTTATTGACAATAGCGGTTGCGTGCGCAGAGAAGGCTGTCGAATGTTACTCCGAGCATTTTCGGGTTATTCACCGTCGGAATTGGTCCTCCTCCTCCTTCGTCCAGGTTGTGAACAAGGTCGCAGAGGATTTCGTAGGGCAGAGGGCTAGACACTTTGGAGTGAAGAAGCGAGAAAGA